GTTATGTGGAACACTCAACTTTTTTTAATTTCCATGGTTTTTAAGAACTAGAAAATATTTAATGAAATTTTGGAGAAACTGAAAATAATGCAGTATTATCCAATAAATATTTTGAAGATTTCCTCAAACCCTTTAATAAACACATTTCATAGTTTTATAAACCACCAATCGATTCAAATTCAATGATCCTGATGCGTGTCATATGTTTGTAAAGTGATTCAATAGTAATTTATCAATACAAAAAAAATTTTAAAGAAGCCTTAACCGCAGCATATAGAATTAATATTTTGTAAAAAAAAAAAAAAAGACCTTTACCTCATTAAAAATAAAACTTTTCGATATACTAAAAGTTAATTTCAGTCGTATCGTAATAAAAAACTCGGATGATCCGGGTTAATTCGGATAATTAAGATAATTCGACCGGAAAAATTAAATTTATAATATTACTTACATAAATTTTATTTTAGATTTTCGCGGCAATAAAAATTTTCATTAAAAAAAATTCGTTACAATGCGAAATTTCTTAATATTCTACTTAAAAAAAATTCGTGCTAAGTTTTGTTAGAAGAAAATAAATTGAATAATCAAATTGTAGGTAATGGGACGACATGGTAAATCATATGGGAGTGTTTCTAGGAAAATCAGGTTCCGAGAAATTTTTGACTAAAATTAAGAGCTTAATACATTTTAATCTAATTACATCAAAAACTAAAATGCAATAAAAATCTCAATTTTGCTAAAAAATTCCCAGAACCTGATTTTCCTAGCAATCTACCCATATGATCCATAACGTGATTTAACACATATCAGATATGACTATTATCAGTTACTGACCAATAAAAAAAAAAATTTTATCATTTTCCCCCCTTTTCTATTGCTCAATTTCTTTAAGATCGGCGTTCGTTACAAATGAAAATTGGATGATCCCGGATGACGAATTATATTATTTCATTCGAATTAAATTTCATTCGAATTTATTCGGATCATTCGAATCAGGCTAATTCTATTTTATTAATTTTTGGAGGTCTTTTTTCTGAATTTAAATTTTAATTAATTACTCAAATTATTACGAATCATATATTTCTTCTGAATTAGTATTTTCGACTTTTTGGATTGGCTGCGCGATATGGGAGTCCTTTGAGTAGGTGACAGATCGTCAATCATTAAATTATTTCTAAATAAAAGAACTTTAATTTAGTTTCAAATAGACACCAGATAAGGCAGATACATTCGGAATATATTCTATGCCGATCTCGAAACATATATATAAATGTTTATTTTTCAACAGAAAAATTTTTTTTAATTGTTACAAAATGTAAACTCATCTGAGGTTAGATTATGAGATACCTTTGTAGAATTGGCATAAAAATGTGCGTTGTACTCGTAGATGTTCAGTAAAGGTGTGTCGCATATTGTTAACTTATGGTTATCCAAGCATGAACCAATGAAATAATGGTTAAAATGAGAAACGGCAACGTTCGATATGTTTTTACTCAATGTTACTATGTACAGATGTACACTAAATGTGGATGTTCATTCGACCTAAAATTAGATAATTCTACAAGGACGGTTAAGCCAGTTGCTAGTGAAAAGCTTCCGTGAAGGCATCTTATACACGTGGTCAGTTGAACTGCAAACCAGTTTTGAATCCTATCCTTTCTTTTAACCTTGCTATACATTATTGTAAAATAATTACAACGTAGACAACAACACCGAAATAACCAGCAAAGATGTTAAAAATAATTTAATTGTGTCTATGCTTATTCCAATATAATGTATAATGCAACATCTATTTTTAATTTTGAAATTATGGACTTTATCTTTTATCAGAATCTCTATCTAAAATTAAATATTCTCTTAGTAACATTTCTGCAAATATTATTTATCACCTGTATAATAATTATATAACTAATCCAGTACGATGATGGTAGACTGATTTTATAAAATTCGTACCATACCGTACTGGTCCTATAATAACTAAGCCCTATTATAGGACCATGTCAAATTTCGCATTTTTGTATTTTTTCTTTTTTTTTTTATATAATATTTTTTAATTTTTTTTTTTTTTTTTAAATTCCTTCCCAGTATATATATATATATTTAATTGATTTTTTTCTTTTTTTTTCTTTATTTTATATTTTATTATATTTTTTTTTTTAAATTCCACCGGACTTTTTAATTTTTTTTTCTTTTTTGTTTAGTTTCGTTTAGTTTCCTATTTTTTATTCTTTTTTTAGTTTTATTTTATTTTTTATTTAATTTGTTTTTTTTTTATTTTTTTTTATTTTTACTTTTTTTTTTTCATTTCGTTGTTTTTTTTTTTTTAAGTTTTTTGTATTTTCTTTTTTTTTTTATATTGATTATTTTATTTTTTTCTTTTTTGTTTAGTTCCGTTTGTTTAGTTTCCTTTTTTTTTTTATATTCTTTTTTTATTTTTATTCTCTTTAGTATTTCATTTGTATTTTTTATTTTTTTATTTTTACTTTTTTTTTCTTTCAATTCGTTGTTTTTTTTATAATTTTTTATTTTACTTTTTTTCGTTCATTTATTTTTTTCTTTTTTTTTAGTTTTCTCTTTTCTTATTAATTTTTATTTTTTATTTCATTTCTATACTTTCGTTTTCATTTTATTTATTTGATTTTTTTTTGCAATTCGTTTATTTTTACTTTTTTTTTTTTATTTCTTTTTTCTTTTTCTTTTTTATTTTAGATTTTTTTATTCTTATTCGTTTTTTTCAAAAAAATAAAGTAAAAAGAATAAAAGAAATGAAAATAAAAATAAAAATAAAAATAAAAAAAGATTTCCGCGGGTATGGCATTTAATTAGTAAAATGTGATATAATGATTTTTTTTTAATATAGTAAAATCTGTTCATTATATCAAAAAATAAATTTTACAAAATTTCATTGCGTACCGTACCGTGACGGTACGATGTCCACAAAATTACTGATCTGCATAATCGTACCGTACTGGTCTGACGAATCGTACCGTCTATCTGTCCCAATTTAATTTTGATTTACTGGCACACTACAGTTATTAATTCGAATTTCCTCAAATTAGGAACAATCTTTGTTGACTCAGTTTCTGGTATATTTTACTATTATAGATAATTCTCAATTTTTTATTATTTTTCATCAACAAACTTTTATTGATTAAACAAGGAACCACAGTAGAACGAACTGTATCAGTAAAAGACTTTTATTACAAAGTGCCTTTTGATGTCAATGGTGAATTGAAAAATACTTTTAAAGTTTTAGTCATGATAAAGATTCTTATATGAATATTATTATTATAAAATTATGGTTATCGGATTGCAGCACCTTTTTATTATTTTAACTAGTATATTGATTATTCATTTGATTTTTAATCTATATTAGTTTTTTCGGTCGTTTCATTCGAAAATCAATAAAAATTGAAATTTTATAACTTATATTGACTATTCATTATTTGTTATGTTTTGTTATTGGTTTATATATATATATATATACACATATTCTCTCGTTGTCTTACTTTTTTTATTTTTATATCCTATAGCATTTGCCAAGTAATACCAAAGGCTTGTTTAATAGAAATTTTTTATTTAGATAGTAAGTATTCTTTAATTAACAAACTTCCCAAATAGCATATATATTTTGTGAAAAAAGAAAGTGGGCTAAATTCTACTGTAATTGTTACAGATCCAATGGACCGAAAATCGTTAATTACATCTCATCGACATTTTAACGGGTCATTTTAGTGATCTTAAGTTTCCACTCGAATTTCGTTTGTAGAACTTGATTTTCGATATTTTAATAAAACTCATTATAATGCATTACTATACCGTTAATTTAACATAAAAAAAAAAATTTTTTAAGTGATGAAAATTATAAAAATTGACTTATTATATTAATGAATATATATTCGATGACGATTCATTTTAAAGTACGCAATATATTGAAAATAAATTGTGAAAATGCATAATAATGTGAAACAATATGGTGACGGTTATGCGCAACCAAACGTTACATATCGGGATGGATGTTAGGTTCTCTAAATATAATTTTACTATGAACGTATAAATAATACTACCCAGTAAAGTGGTAAGAACAATCGCATATTCGTCGATCAGAGATTTAATATGTTATACATTAAAAAATTTTTCTCGGTAAACCCTGATCCAGGTTTAAACAGTTTTTTTTTTTTAAAAAAAAAAAAAGTACATTTCCTAATAAGTAAAAATAACAAACGTCTAATATCATCAAAATAATGACGAAGTAACCGCGAATTTCAAGAAAAAATGTGTTGCCTTAAGAACAAAGATAATAAAAAAAAATAAATCAGAAAAAAAAAAAAGATTCGGTTAAAATAATATTTAGAGAAAATTTATAAAACTCTCATTGATGACTCACAAACACGAGATCATTCTCCAGTCGGAGGTGTTTAAATTTTTTAATACTTTCCAAATTAAGTAATAATAGATATAGGATGGACTAAAAATTTACCAATTGTAACGGATCTTACATCATTTTTTTTTTTCATCTTTTAAAAAAGAAACATCAAATCCTTCAAACTCTTAAGTATACTTTTTCTTCTCGTACGTACTAAAAACAACGCCCACATTCCAAACAACTTACTATTTTAGCTAATGCTTTTCGAGCGAGATTTCCAACATTTTCGTGCTTTGACAAGGTATTTTTTATATTAGTAGTGGTTTTCCATCCTGGTTACGAGCTCAACAATATTCGCGAAATATTGTTGACCTACAGGTTCGATAGATATACCCGGGATGTTCATTTCTATAGACAAGTATTACCCCAGTTCTATAACGTGTTGATAAGTAATTATCATTACGTGGTCGTTCCTTTAATACATTGACTCTTAAGATCTGACTCCCAACCGCCCTAATCACGAATTCCTTACTCTTCATAAATCCTTAGATATTAATTTAACATTTTTTTTTTTTATCATTCTAATAGGCGTACCGGTGAAATCGTGCCGTTCGAACCTTTCTCTCAATTGGAATTATTTTAACGCGCTATTCCATGTCTTTTTGCTCTTTGCCAAGATATTTATTGTATTGGTAGTGGTTTTCCATTCTGGTTACGAGCTCAACAATATTCGTGAAATATTGTTAACCTACAGGTTCGAATAACCGGGATGTTTATTTATATAGACAAGTATTACCCAGTGCTATGTCGTATTGATAAGAAATTATATTACGTGGTCGTTCTTTAAATACATTGACTCTTAAGTTCTGACTCCCAACTGCCCTAAGCATGAATTCCTTATTCTTTCAATAATACTTAGTATACTAATCTACCCTTTTATTTTTTTATCATCCTTATAGACGTACCGGTGAAATCGTGCAATTCGAACCCTTCTCGCTATTGAAATTATCTGAACGCGAATTCTTATTTTTTCTCGCTTTGACAAGGTATTGGTTGTATTTTCCATTCTGGTTACAAGCTCAACAATATTTCGCGAAATATTGTTGTCGAATTCCCAGGATGTTTATTTCTATAGACAAGTATTACCCTAGTGCTATAACGTATTGATAAGTAATTATCGTTACGTTGTCGTTCATTTAATACTGACTCTTAATATCTGACTTCCAACCACCCTAAGCACGAATTCCTTACTCTTTCAATAATATTAAATTTTTTAAATCTAACATTTTTCCGTTTTTTATCATTTAATGGGTAGGTATTTCAGCGGCAGATAGCGGATTCTTAATGTTAAACTTTTCACAGTCCAAATTACAGGAGGTTGGTACACGTACTACTATTAATAATAAGTACTACGTCACAAATTTATTTTTTTGAAAAAAAAAATCTTCTATTGATTTTTTTCATTATTGAAAATTCCGACTAGCATGAAGAGATAAGTTTTATTTTTGTCACTATGAATATAAGAAACTCTGTGATTTTTAGAAATTAATACATTCCTTATCATTCGCTTTATTTTGCAATATTTATCTAATTGCATATATAAACTATATAACATGACCGAGTGATTTCTTTTTTTAACCCTTTAACTTTTTTGAGTTGGATTATTTTGGATCACATCAATCAAAATTTTTTTTTCAATTATTAACTTTCTAGACTTTTCATCACATCGTACTGTATCAAATAAATAAATGTAAATATGTTTGTTTTTTATTTTTTTATTTTTTCGTAATATTTGATTTTTTTTCCATGAAATTTTATTAATACAAAATCTTAGTCTCAGCAACTAATTCTGATGGAGACTACCCAATATGAATTGGGTATATGGAAACTGATTCAGTACAATTTGCTTGAAGATCAGTACTGTACTGGATATTATTTTAGAACCAGTGGGTCAATACGAATTTAAAAAGTTCATACCAATTTGAAATTCGTACTGCGGTATGATAATAATTAATATTTTAATATCTAACGAAAATATCGGGTAATATTTCAGTACGTTTATCAAAATAATTTTAAATGAAGGAAAGGCATTGTTAAATACAAAAATAATAAATTATTTTAGTCTGATGTATTTGTCTTCAAAAAAATTTTTTTTGAATAAAAATGACTATATATTTGATTTCATCGACAATGAATTTTTAAATCGGATAAAAATTTTAATTTTAAAACTGCAATGAAAATGTCTCATAAAATAATATGTAATAATCATATCGTACCATACCAATTTTATAATACTGCTAGTTTTCTATTACTCATAATCAAAATTGAAAGCAAACCAATCAAATCAATCAAATGAATTTTAGATTCTTATTGGCTATTTTTTTCATGGTAAAACAAATCTCAGAAGAAATTAATGCAATTAATTCCAATCGCAAATATTAGCAAATTAAAAAAGATAGCGTAAATCTTGATTTTTGACTTTTGAATATATTATTTTGAATTTTGATGATTTATTGATTTATTATCTCTTAAACCGTCCATTTTAGCGGACAAATTTGTACGCTAAAATGATTAAAAGTAAATTAGGTTTAGAGTAGAATTTTTATAGTAAAAACTTTATTTTAATTGGTTGAAATTATAGTCACATGACATAATTTTTGTCCGCGGTGTCTAATATATCACGTGACTTTTAAAGTTTATGGTTTAATAAATCACTTTCGCAAAAATATTTATTTATTAGTATGAAATTCTAAAAAGCAATTCCTAGCATTATTACACACAAAGGCACATTACATGCTACACACCATAATTGGCTTCTGTTTGGTGTTTTACGATCCATATCTATTTCCTTTTTATTTGCTAATCATGTACACCACCTACTCGCTTCACGTTTTCTCTCCATTCTACAAAGTAGTTTTCAGGAACTAATCGTTGGTCCGAAAGCTCAAAATGTTTTGTTATTTTCTGACGTTTTGCATCCTTCTCCAAACTACTTTTTAGTTGAATTTCACCAGTATCATTTGCAATCCCAAACAAGCTCATTACGGAACTCTTTTTGTTCTTGCATTGATTCCATAGTCTGAACAATCTGATATGCATTAATAATTGCAGTATCAAGTAGCCAAAAAAATGGGCATCCAATTTCGTCATGTTATTTTTTGCGTGTTGTAATATAAACGTAATTGATCTGCAATATCTATACCATTCATATTATGGTTATAATCATTTACTATTTATGGAATTTTTAATTTTTTTCTAGATTCAAAATCAAATACCACGTGTATCTTTGCTGCATTTGTACTAGTTTCCCTTAGTCGCTGCCTATTCCATTCTACTTCCCACTCCTCACCAACAATTCCATGAATTGTTAATAATATTGTGACCGGTCTATTATCCTACCAAAAAACAGCTAATACACTATCTACCACAACTCCAGAACGAACATCTCAATCAAGTTTAATGCTTTTATCCAATTTTAATTTTTTAAAACTCTAGATACAGTCTTTCGTACAGTCTCACAAGCACCAATTCCATTTTACCCAAGATGTTGAAAAAGAGAAATATTGGAGAAATTGTTATCCATATATATATTGTATGAATGTTGATGGTATGGAAGTTGCTCAATAAGATGATAAACCTGGCATCCAATTTGATTAAGTCTACCTATTTTTGTTACATCACTTGAAATAATACGTGATGTTGATAAAAAAGTAAAAGTATATCCAGAGTCACAAAGAGACAAAATTTTAAAGCCTTCAGGTGTAGGTTTGTTTTTGATTTGAACAGTATAAACACTTCTTTTAGAAAAACAAATTACCATTTCATCTACAGAAACATTTGTACTTGGTATGTAAAGTTGCTTTGAAACATTCTGGACATGTGAAAGTAATTTTTAATTAATGCAATAGAGAGGAAATATGTAGATATTTCTTAATCTGTTCAAAATGTTTCAATGATATTTGTTTGGAGATAGGGTGAATAGGAAGCTTTCCATTTTCATTTCAATACTGGTCAAGAGAAGGTAATTTAAAAAGTCCTTGATAAATAACCAAGGCAATTTAAATAAGAAGTTCTTTATGAATTAAGTCTAGCCAACACCTATCAGTAGCACTAATACCTTTCAATAATACATAAAGATTTGTATTTTTGATAATAGTATTCAACATGTTTGTTATAAAAAAAAGAAAAAAAAAGTCAATCAGCTTAGAGACACCAACGTTAAGATATGTTGGTAGCTGAACAGATGCTCAATGAGGTTGTTTTGGGTGAATAAATAGATTAAAATCAGAAGATAGCTATGGTAATTCTTGTATAGTTCTCGTTAATTTACGTTTTCTTTTGTAAGTATTTCATGTGGTTATTTCATGTTCTTCCTCATCCTCATCCTCATTTTCATTTTCTGAATCTGGATTGTTTAAATATTGATGAGGTGTCAAGTGTGGTATATACTCTCTCTTATCAAATCCTGTTTCTGGACTTTCTGAACTTGAAGTCATGTAAAGAATGTTTAGTTATTAATTTTTTTTTTAAATTTTTTTTTTTTATGATTATCAGATTACATAATTTACTATTGATGATCTATATGATCATTATTATCATTAATTCAAAAATTTGAATGCACATGATATAGAACTAATAGATTTGTTTTGGCTTAACAATAGGGGGTAGCTTAAGATAATTAAACAAAAATAGCAAAAAAAAAATTTTAGTATTCAAATTTGAACGCTAGACAGTTTAAGAGATAGTAAATAGAAATTGTAATATTATAAAAATATATAAGTTCATCATTTATGTAGATTTATTTTTATTAAAGTATTTTAATAGACTTGAATTATTCTTCAAAAATATCTTTAATTCTTTGATTTTTATCATCTTTTACAAGATCTTTAGAGAATGGTCAATTCATAATTTCTTCACTTTCTTTTCCTCTTATATTTTCTTTTCAAATATTTCATCAAATAATACTATTTCTTATCTTATATTATGCGATTTAATATTATTATTTTTATATAATAATTTTCATAATACTATTACAAATATGTAGGTACATTTATTATGATATTATATTTCAAAGATTTTGTCACTTTTTATATTAGTAGTTCTTACATAATTTAACCAATCTTATCTTAATACTAAAATAAAAATATCTTCATTTTTTACTTTTAAAGAAAAATGCATATTTATTCTAATAAATATTTATACAAGAAGGTGTTTTCATACTATTATATTTTATTATTGAAGTAGAAATTTATCTACTTATTCTTGAATAAATGTTGTAAAAATCCAACTTGTATTCTTATTTTTATCAGTCAAAATTTTTATGACTCATTTATTGTTTCTTCTAATACATATATTGATATTATGTAATATTTATTTTATTGTCTTTATAAAATCAATATTTTATTACTTAAAATTTCTTATAATTTTAAAAATAATCTTTTAAATCTAGATTAACTCAAAATTAAAACTTGAATAGTTTTTCTTCTGACAGGAATCGCTAAACTATTAAATTTAAAATTGTCTTAAAATTAAACTAATAAAATAAATAAACTTAATAACACAATTATCTTAAAGATTTTTCCTTAAGAAAAATTAATGATTAACAAATAAATTAATTTATTATTATGATTATATTATATATTAGATTATTATGATCAATCCTATGACAAAGACAAGAAAAGGTTAAAAGTGTAAATAGTAATTTTATTAACTTGAAAATTTTATAAGTTTAATCTTAAAATTTATTTTAATCTCTAAGTAAAAACTCTATTAACTTAAGGTCAACTTACAGGTCTATTTATATAAAATACTAAATAGTACTATACTACATTTTTTGATAATTATAAATGATATATATAATGAAAACTAGATAATATAATATAAGTAATAAAAAGAAGATTATAAAATATATATAATAAAAGGTAACCTATTTGATACTTGTATTATAAAGTCAACTAAATAATACATATATTACATATTTAATATACATTACTTTCATGATTTTTAGTACAGTATAATTTGTGACTAACACTAGACTGGTTAAAAATTAACCAGTTTTAATTATAA